TGGAACATGAAGTTCGTTGCCACAACAACTCCATCAAACCTTCTGCAATCTATCAACCGCAGGAGCTCCCTTACTTGCTCCATTCTGTCCGGGTCGGGCCTCTCCAACCACTTTGTGTTCGCCACTGGCACCTAATCAATGTCACACTAGACATATGGCTCCACCTGCTTGATGTAGAACCATCTGTAGGCCTAGTACTTCACATTCATGTTAAGCGGGACAGCGATGTACTGACTCACCATCCCATCCCGCAGCTGTAGATAAGCGCTGCCAACTACCTTGGATCTAGCTCCTCTCGCATCTTGAGACAGAAGAAATGGTGGAATAGATCGAAGTGGGGTAAGATCCCTAGATATGCCTCACAAAGATTGATGAAAACAGCAACATGAAGGATGGAATTCGGACTAAGGTTGTAGAGACTGATGCCATAGTGGTCAATCAGCCCGTGGAGAAAAGGATGAATTAGGACGCCGAATCTGCGGATGAAGTAATCTTCAAAAACAATAAGTTCATAGGAATAGGGTGTGGGGAAATTCTCACCAACCACCGGACACCATCCCGCCGTCGCCCTGTCTAGTAGAATCCCGAGCACCACCAAGTTGTTGAGTGCCCTCTCATCACTAACGGACTGCACCCACTCCTTAGCGTGGTTGACCTGGCACGGCGCCCGCCTTGAGCTGTTGCGATTCCTCTTCGGTGCCATTAAGCAGATCTGGAGACGGTGGTTGCTCACTGCTTGGATTTATTCTAGCGGTGGAGCGGTTGTAGATGGGAAGGTGTATGTGTGCAAGAGCACGAGGAAGACGATGTGGCATGTGGGAAATGGGGAGTATGCCTCAGAGCCGCGGTGGATTTATAACGGAACGACCCCTAACCCTCTGCCTTTAGGGTTTTTGGGAAACCGCGTCTGCCACGCCTCGTTCCCTCTGAGTTCTCCGCGCGTCACTGGGCCGTTAACTGGGCATACCGTATCCGTATGTGAAGCTGCATTTCACGCGGGCCGCAAAGACAAAACATGTGCCAAGCAATATTTTGAAGGAATTTTTGGATTTTCATGGCAAGATATTTTTCCTGACCCTGCTACAAGATATCTTCGCAATCTTCCAGTAGGCTCGGGGACTACATGTGTACATGTCATCTAGCAATGATTGTACTATTTTCTCAGCTAAGCTGGGAACGGGTTCAGCACCTGAAGACTACTACTTTGGACCCTAGCACCATGAGACTACTTCACCTAGTGCCAAGCTCGAGGACTAAGTGGGCACATTTCACCTTGCGGTGAATGTGCTTATTTCTCTGACATAGATTTCTTCAAAGCGGCTAAGTTCCTCTACGATAACTAAGTTAAGGACGCCACGCGACCAACTTCGATGCCTAGAACCTAAGTGGGCACACTTCGTCTAAGATGGAGATTTCAAAAAAAATTAACTTGAGCTCCCTACATCCTTCTGGCAAACCTTGGCTTCGCATAAGTCTAAGCTTGGCTCCCGGTTGAACAGCTCGAACATTGATTCTAACAGCTCAGATGCTCTCTCCAATAGCCCGAACACCTGACTAATTGCTCGGACATCTTCTTCAACAGCTCGGCTCCCAGTTAGACAGGTCGGAGGCCTCTTCCTGACAATTAGCGGCTTGTTGATCAGCTCGAACAAGCCTAGGACGGTGTTGCACAGAGGATGCAAGGTGCTCGGGGACTAGCTGTGGGGGTATGACCCCCGATACCCATAAGGGTGTACATGGGCTGAGCCGTTAGGGGAGGCCTAGCCCACAAGACTGCGCATGGGTCCCGCCACTAGTGGAGGCCCAGCTTACAAGACGACGCCACGTGAAGCACGGCGTAGGTCGCGCGTGCCTCACAAGACTACGTAAAGATCCTCGGTGATCTAGGAAACCTGCTTGGATATGCTAGATCCCATAATATCTGTAACTTTCTATCTTGTAAATCGATCAGGATAGAAACAACCGATCTGTAACCCTACCTCTGGGCTATATAAGGTGGGTAGGGACACCCCCTCGTTTTCATCTGATCATACGTAATACAACCCATCGAAAGACACAGGACATAGGGTATTATGCCAAGTCGGCGGCTTGAACCTGCCTAATCGTTGTCTCTTGCGTTCTGTGTCACCGTCTGGTTCCCTCATGAGCACCTCCATCGATTCATCTACAAACGTGGACATACCCCTCGGTAGACTGCCGACTAGATTTCGTCGACAAAGGGTTAGATACCTAAATGGCAAAATGCAATTTTGCTCTAGCTCTACAAGGGTTACAAGCCACCTACACCAACAATTCTAGTTGCTATTATCTTTAGGCGCACACACAAGGCTATGTCACTACTCTCTAAGTTAGTGTGCTCTCAAAGACTAACTAAAAAGCCTCACTAACCAAACTAACATGCTCTCAAAACTAGCTACACTAAAGAGCTTGGCTAAGCAAGAATATAAACAATGTAAATGCTAGAGAGTGGGTGAGGTGTTTACACCGCCGTGGCAAGTGAGATGAACCAATCACAATGTATACAAATCAATCACTGGGAGAAATCTAATCACAAGATGACACATGATTTTTCTCTCGAGGTTCACGTGCTTGCCGGCACGCTAGTCCCTATTGTGTCGACCAACACTTGATGGTTTGGCGGCTAATTGGCACCACACCAAGCCTTCACTAGGCGCCGCAAGAACCTACCCAAAGTGAGGTAACTCAATGACACGAGCAATCCACTAGAGTTACCTTTCGGCTCTCCACCGGAGAAGGTACAAGACCCCTCAACAATCACTAGGAGGTGGCCACGAACAATCATCAACTCGTGCCAATGCTCCTCCGCTACTCCAAGCCGTCTAGGTAGCGGTAACCACCAAGAGTAACAAGAAATCCGCAGCCACAACAATCCCCAAGTGCCACTAGATGCAATCACTCAAGCAAATACGCTAGGAATCACTCTCAATCTCACTATGATGATGAATCAATGATGGAGATGAGTGGGAGGTGTTTGCATAGGCTCACAAGGATGTTAAGAATGTCAAAGTGCCAAGAGAGTGAGCCCCAAGCCGGCCAAGAGCTGTTTATAGAGCCCCTTGGCTCAAAGAGCCGTTCCTTTGTCGAAGGCGTGACCGGACTTGCCTTACCGGATGCTGATGCACCCCAGCGTCCGTCCACGGATGGCGTCCACATGGCGCCCCTTTGAACCTCGCCTGTTCATCTTCAACGGTCACTAGTTGATCACTCGCGTAGTTAAGTTGTGACCGGACTCGACGAAGAAATGACCGGACTCACGAACACAGCACGTCCGGTTGAATCGAGTAAGCATCCAGAGAGAATTTTTATTGATCGGATGCGTCCGGTCAGAGGTGACCTGACGCGCCTCGCGTCCGGTCCTCACTACGCTCGCCCACGGAGATTGCATCAACGTACGTCATCGTCGACCTGACGCACCCCCTGCGCGTCCGGTCAACGACAACCTCTAGGGTCCGGTCGCCAAACCGCCCTGCACCTTCTCTGGACAGCATGACCAGATGCACGGCCTACGTCCGGTGCAGCGTCCGGTCAATTCTTCTCAGCTGACCGACAGCTAGGGTTAAGCATCGGACGCGCAGGTCCTAACGTTCGGCCACTAACCTTTGCCTCCTTTTCTTTTTCTATCTACTCAAACACTTCACCCTTGCTTCTAAGTTACTAACCACAAAGTGTACTGCTCATGTGCCCGTATGTTAGTATTTTTTCAAGCATTTTTAAGGGTTAATTGTTAGCACACTAGGTCTCTAATATATATGCAACATGTCACCTAGTGGCACTCGATAACCGATTAGCCAAAGATTTCTCTTCTTTATAGTACGGATATCGATCCTAAACACACTCATACCCTCTATGATGTCTTGAGTGCCAAAACAAAACATATTTGATACATTTGTCTTGATCAACCTTGTTTTTTTTCTCTTTTATCTTTTTCAAACTGAAGCACTTGATCTTCAAGTTTGGTCATCACTATCACCATGACCATCATCTAGCTTTACCACTTGGCTTTGGACCATCCCCTCTTGTCTACATATTTAGTTCAAGGATTAGTCCATATGTTTCATCAATTATCCAAAACCAAGCTAGTGCTTTCAGTGTGTCTTGCTAAGCAGAAGCAAGCATGAGCTTACTCTCTCCTTTCCAAAATAAGTGCCCGTCTCACACTTTAAGGAGTCAATCAGTCTAAAATTTGACTAGATTTATAGAAAATAGTATTAATATTTGTATATCTAAATAAGTTTATTTAGTATGAACATATATGAAATCTATTTAGCATCGTGAAAGTTAGTATTTTTTTGCATATATTTCGTCAAAATTGAGATTAGTTGACTTCTCAGAGTGTGACATGTGCACTTATTTTAGACGACGAGTAGTCCCAATTTTGAATTTGAGAGCAAGTTCAAGCTGTGCATGTAAATAAATTTGTAAAAATAAAAATACAGGACCTGTGTTGGAGTTTCCTGGACAGCGACACGCCACAAAAAAATCTGGCATCCTCATCCGCTCCATACCGGCAGACCCAACCCAACCAGAACCAGGCAACCAACCAACGTGCCGGCGGCAGGAAAAATTGCTGCGTGCGCCCCGCCGCCTACACACGCCATAGCCCGTAGCCCGTAGCCCGTTCCCCAAGAAAGAGCCCCCGATACTGGTAGTCTGGCACACAGGCTGTGTGAGGGGAAGGAAAGCGAAACGTACGCACACCATCAACCGCATGCGCTGATGCGCACTGCCCCGGAGAAATTCAAATCCCAAACCCCGCAAGCAAATTCCCCCAGCACCAAATTCGCGGCCGGCCGGCCAGCAGCTCTCCGTTGATCCACAGCGTCTTCCAGTCCCGAATAATCCCAATTCCCAATCGATTCGAAGCTTCCTTCCCTCGAGGGGAGGGGGAGGGGGAGTGGGAGGCCCTGCTTAGGGTTTGGAGGTGGCCGGCGACGCCGCGGGGCGGGGGCCGCAGCAGCGGCAGCGGCAGCGGCAGGGTGATGGATCCGGAGCAGACGTTCCTGCGGGTGCACGCGCGCCTATCGGGGACGCTGTCCCAGCTGCTCACGCCGCGGATCCGCCTCGCGCTCGAGTACCTCTACCTCGCCGGCGCCGTCGCGCTCTTCTGCCTACTCGTCGTCATGCACACCAACTTCGTGCAGCAGGTCAGTCATGGGCCCGTCTCTCGAGAATTGCCCTCAGTGGCCTGCGTATCATTCTCCATTGCTCCTGTTGCTGCCGCTGTGATGGATTGGGAGCGGATGTGACGCTTCTCGTGGAAACAGAGCTACCATGCTGCCAATTTAATGTGAATTGTGGAAACAGAGCTACTATCGCTGCTTTGCTAATGATTTTTTTGCCGGCATAACATTGAAGAACTCTTACCTATCCTCTTTTGTTCTTCCTTCAGTAATCAGTAGTATTTACTTTGAACTAGGAGGAACAAAAGTTAAGTACTCCCTTTGTATTTAAATACATGGCATTTTTTTTGAACTAATTAGCTTGTCCTAAACATCATATATATATTCAAAAGGGAGTATTAGTTCATCACTTAATCTGTATACATACTGTTCACTTCCTGCTCTGTTTCTGATTGACATTTTTGTTTTGACCTTTATGTTCTGTTCTATTCTGTTCATGCCTCAGGGCGCGTTTAGATGCAAAAAAAATTTGGGTTTTGGCTACTGTAGTACTTTCGTTTGTATTTGGCAATTAGTGTCTAATTATGGATTAATTAGGTTCGAAAGTTTCAACTCGCGATTTCTCACCCAACTGTGCAATTAGTTTTTTTTCCGTCTACATTTAATACTCCATGCATGTGCCGCAAGATTCGATGTGATGGGTACTATGCAAAAATTTTTGGGAACTAAACGCACCCTCACTTATCATGTTAACACATATTTTGATTGTTGATTTCATTGAGTTGCTGCTATGTTAAAATTGAGCCAATCTGATTGATCTAATTTGTCCATCCTTTTACAAAGGATTATTAATGCATGTAATGGTACATAAGATAAATATTTGACGAACTATGATATATCTACACGCATATAGAACAAATCACACATCACACCAAGCAAGGCCATGCAACTATAACCTTATTCATCTAAATGATCTGTCTATATATCTAATACATATAAAAAGCAGGCTCTCTGTAATTCACATAGTCATGCGCATAGTGACCAAGTTCCTGGGTTGATGGGATTGAGGAATGTCGAACCTACTTGTTTCTGGAACAGGAACAATGTTCCCAGGGCGAAGTACGTGCCATGGTTCCAAATTCCCGCTGATTAATATCAACTAGGTAGAAATATAAAGTTCATGAGTGGAGATCATTAAAACAAAAATCTTGAGTTGTGAGAAAAAAAGAAAGAATATTGCGATGGACTAATACTATTTGATTTTGTAGTCCACATTTCTGTCCGCTCCAGTCTTTATTTTTTTATTCTCACTTTTGAATTGTCTTTTGCATGCGAAGCCTGGCTGCTCAAGTGAGTTTTCTGGAATTGAATTTGGAGAAGCACAACTTGTCCAAATCAAGGTAGTATTAATGTCTGGTTGCTCTTTGCTTTTGTTATTGAATTAGTTGCTACTCTGAAACTCCATTATGTATGTTTTATTCTTCTTGCTTTTGTTGATGATTCCTGTTTCTATTCTATTGGTGTCAATTTTAAACTTTGCTATGAGTTGTAGATTATCAGTGGGGGATTATGGTCCAGCAGAGGTGCTTCTTACATCATGGATCTCCAGAACCTGGGACGTTCAGCTGAGAAAATTTTAGAGGTTAATGGTGATAAGTTCAACATTTTGGCATCTAAGTTTTGGTCAACCTGGGTTGGCCCTGGAGCTAGGAGGAGTAAGCTAATGTTTAGAACTTGGAAAGGAGACAAAGAATTTGAACCTCAATCAGAGAATACAGCTGACACAACTGTTACCACAACTATTCCAGGCTTACCAGATTTGAAGGCAGCCGGAGAGGGTTCTGTACACCACCCTTTATCGGCTAAGGAGTCATTTAAAGCAGCAGTGACATATTTGTTCAGAAAATGGTACCATCGTGCTGTCTCATTCTGGAAGAATATAAAGCAACTTTCAGAAAATACCCTCCAGTTGATGGTAAGAAGTTTGACCAGAATTTTTTTAAACCACTGCCTTGTTTAATGCTCACCCCAAAAATCCTCATTTTGTTGGTCGGATCGATGGATTTTGATGTAGGAAAAAAGTTTCTAGCTCTTTTCTTTTTTTTTTTTTTTTGTTGTGGGGGGGTCTTGAGAAGTGTTTCTGAAGGGGCAAATTAGTGGCGTATAGCTATTTATTGCTGAGATTTGTTGGACTGATAGTATAGCAGTATTAATCAATATTCAGAATTAAGCAAAAGATTGCTCACTAATATTTTTATCCCTACTGGGTTCCTTAAGTGGCATGATACTTTTTTTTTGTCTATAACTCTATATGTTTGCTATTAGTGATCTGTGTTTGCCTATGTGTCGCCTAATTGGTTAACATACATGTACTTTATCCCTATGATATTTCTTGTTTATTTTAACATCAGGTCAGATCAAATTGGAATGACTTCCTCCATATTGTTAAGGATCTTCAACTACCAAGCATGGATCATCTTATTTCGACAATAGGTAGTGTCGACTGTTAAGTTGTCATATTTTATGCGCCTCAACCTAGAATAGTGCTTGCATGAATCCTATTAACCTTGTCACCTGCAAACTACAAGCACTAATTTTCTCTAACTTCTCTAGCTTATGTTGCTTGTTACAGTGCAGTGGTTTGAGAGGAGGAGTAAAGCGTTTGAGCCTACTTATTTATATGGCGTGGAGAAGGTCAGACTCTTCCTGTCCTGTTTATATCACTTGGCCATTCTGTCTTCTTTGATATGTTATTTGGTGATGAGCTTCTTGTTTCTTAGCACAATAAGAATACAAACTTCTGTTGAACATGTTTGAAAGTTTTAGGCTACTCTTCAGTGAGGAAATAGTGTATGCACCTAGTCAATCCCCAGCTGGTGAAAATTCCAGTAACAATCTGATAAGTGATAACTGTGAATATGCCACTGCTTCTTGACATCTTCAGTGCAAAGTTCCATTATGAGGATATATTCTGTTAAACTCTTAAAAAATATCCTTGCTGTTCCTTTGTCCACTCACCCTTATAAACTTTGGCACATTGAGATGGAACACTGGACAGATATGATGGAAGTTACATCCCTTCTCTGTTGACCTTCGTTGCTTTCTGACCTGCCACTGGCCTTATGTGGTCACATCCCAAGTGGTCTCAACACAATGGTGAGGCCGCAGGCTGTTTCCAGGTCTGCACTTCTCTCACTGAAGTACTGACTGTTGCAATGCAGTCTGAGTAACCTCACAGAGCACTAACCTGGAAGCTTGTAGATGAAGTCGTCCTTCACAGCACATTGTCGCAGATGTGTTGTGTATGCAATCTTTAATTTTAGCAAGGGTAAATAACGAACATACAATTTCAGGCTATGAAAGAGGTTCAACCTTATTAGAGTGGCATATTCACTCAATGAAAAGGATCTGAAAAGCAGTAGAATATTCACAATTATACAGCATTAGCAATATAGGTTTGATTGATGACATAGTTTCTTGAATTAATTCAAGCCTTGAGTTGGTTAAGAGGATCAGAAGACCCAATTGTTGTCCCTTTTATGCTTGTATGCATGTATTAGCATCGTACGTTGAATAGTATTCATTTTAGGGGCTTTCCCACATGCTCATTTCTTTTCTGCAGGGTTATTTCTTGCTTTCTGAAGGTGCTAAAATTCGTCATGGTGTCCGAACAATCAATATCACAATTTCTGCTCGAAATCCTTGCTTTGGAAACAGGTTTCTGTTCAGTATTTTTGAACCCTTCCTGTTTGCAAGCTTTTAAGTGCCAAAGGTTGCTGTTAATATTAGCACCCTCTCATATGTTGAAAACTTTGATCTGACATAGAGTTTAGGAGAATGCCCTTTCCACCAACATGTAAGCATGCTGCATGTTGTATTTTAAGAGTATCAATGACCTTACCTTGGATCTTGTGGAATTTGCATATCTATCTAAATGTTTTCACTTCAGCATATATTAATTCTTGACAGTTTGCTACTTAGATTCCATATGTGTATTATCCAGCTAACAAATTTGACAAATACTCCCTCCGTTTCAAATTATAAGACGTTTTGGCTTCTCTAGGTAGTAGGTACATTGCTTTTACCATGTATCCAGGCATAGTGTATATCTAAGTGCATAGCAAAAGTTACGTATCTTGAAAAGCCAAAGCGTCTTATAATTTGGAATGGAGGGAGTACTAGGTTAAGTCACAGTTTTGCACATCTATTTATTTTTCATCTTGAGTTGATTGTGGCCTCTGGTAACTTTGATCTTGCACTCAGATAGATAATAAGAATTGGTGCCTTATTTCAATGAACACTACGATAGTAACCCCTATATCATTGCAACATGAAATTTTCTTTGATATTAATAAAACCTGTAGATTTGTGTGCAATTTGTACTTTGTATACAAAATGTGAGAGACATTTCTTTCTCTATAAGTCTAAATTTTTCTTTGCTACAGTTTTCTTTGAGTGGGTGTCTGTGATGTGTTGGCATGTACATATACTATCCAATTGGATTGTCTGCAGTAGATGCCATCTCAATTTTTTCTACATTTTCCTTTTCAGGTGGCAGCAGCTTTTGATAAACAGCATTGTTGGATATGATACTATACTTACAAACAGCTTGGTGAATTCTCCTGGTCATGGTACGCATCTGATCCTATTGTGCATGTACCAACCTTTAATCGTCAAAATAGTTCTACAAATGATCACAGACTTGGTTCATAACAGCAAAGTAACAACTAACAACGTAGTTGACTTGCTTGAAGCATGTCAAACAACAGTTTTTTGCACTTTGTATAACTGTTTGCACTATGATCCATTTATGAACTAATTTTTTTGGTCTTTGGTATGTTGTGCAGGTTATTTATACAACTTTCAGACAAAGGAGCTCTATGATCTCAGTTATGGGCATGAACCACCAGAAGGTCCTACAAGATTTGGAGGTTGGTATAGTTAACTTTGTTTTCTCAATATGTTGAGTCAACTCTTGAGCGTTTTCTACATGACATCACTATTGTGCATTGTTCCACTAAAGCTTTATACATGTCAACTGCTAAATTGCAATGAACTTTCAAATTGGAAAGTATGGAACCAAAAAGTCCTTAATTTTGGCTTTTGATTGCCTTTCATAACATACATGACCCATATCTTCCTCTCTGTGCATCAAATCTGATGCATTGCAACTTTGGTGTTTGCAGATTACTTTGTGACAAAATGTGGTGTCCTTCTAATGTCACTCTTTGTCTTTTTCACAACCACCATGTCTGTTTCATTTACTCTGAGAGAAACGCAATCCCGCATGCTTAGGTTCACAGGTTGGTGTTCTTTTCTGTAGGTTGCGGCCTGGACTGCTTTGCACTTAATATTTTATTTGATTCACCTAGTGCGTTGTTCTTCCTTGAAATTTTCAGTGCAGCTTCAACACCATGCACGCCACCACCTGCCAACTTTTCAGTTGATATTCGTGCATGTCATCGAATCATTGGTTTTTGTTCCGGTAATGGGAAATATTCTTTGGTGTTTTGAAATATTTGAAGTTTGTGATGAAATGTATTCGCTGCAGGATTCACCAAACTTCTACATTAGCTCACTCATTATTTTGTTCTGATCTTTGTAGATTATGATTGGGATCCTCTTTTTTCTATTTGAGTTCTACGATGATCAATTGCTTGCGTTTCTTGTTTTGACTCTTGTATGGTTATGTGAGCTGTTCACGATGATCAGGTAATGTTTTACATGGAAGTATTACTGGAATTTTTATTATTACTCCACTCCCAATGTGAAACATCTACCCTTTTAGAGAAGTCACAGTTTTGTCCAAACTCCTGTTGGGTCTGGTTGGGGCCAGGTCGGGTTCATTTGTGATCCAGGGGCACGCAAATGAAAAAAAATCTCTCTTTGAGCTGGAAAGAGTATTTTAATGGGGGCCCAGGCAACCAGCTAGTAACTACAATTTGACAGTGCCTTCCCCCAAGCAGGACTTTTGCTGTGTCCTAGAGGCAGAGCTATACGAAGTCACGGTGCCCTACGGCAAATTTTCCATAAGGGAATAGCTAGGCCTTTTGCTCAGTATAACTGCTGAGAGAGCAACTCAAATAAAAGATATATGGGTAGAGATGATCACTTATTCTCGTCGAAATAGTATAAGGCAGCTAGCATGAATGCATCTATTAGAATTGATTTTGTGCAGGACAAAATTTTGAAGCTAATGATTCTTAAATACTTATCCCTGTATCTTTGTTTTTCAGTGTGCGGACATCCATATCGATGCAGTTCTTTCCACGCTTCTTCTTGCTCTATTTTTTGGTTTTCCATATCTACTTCTTCTCATATACTTATGGTACGTAAAATTCAGTATGTATCGAACTTTTTTTCTGACTGAACTATTGATTAACTAATGGCACATTTCTGTTGCTTTATGACATATGCTTTACCAGGCTTCTCATATCTGGCTTTCTCTGCTACGGCAGCATTCATGCAGCACCTTATTTTATATTTTTGGAACCGTTTTGAGGTAAGTTAATGTCTTGTTTCTGTGTTTTTGTATTTCTCTTTATTTATCTAATGCTTCTACATTTTGATGTAATTTTCTGTTCACGTTTTTTAGAAATAATCATTGATTACTATTAGTTAGATGTTTCAAAGTTTAATATCCCTATCCACTTTTTAGCTTCTGAACAGTGGTTTGTATTCACAGCTTGTCGTAACTTTCATGTGAATGAGAAAATTGATCCAAAATTGGTTGATTCAGTAGGGAGGTAGATCAGTGTGCATATATTGGGTCCATTAGCTCAATTAAATCCTTGTCACCCAATGTCTACTTCATGTTTCCCTGTGCCACTTCAGGTGCCAGCTCTCCAGAGATTCATGCGAAGTCGAGCTCACATTCACCAGCAGACAGGTGTCCAGATTACATCCTCAACTATCTACTCTACCTTACACATTGCTAGGGTAAATGTGAGGGACCCTGGTACTATAAACGATGGCCTTGGTGCTGCTCGTGAAGCAGATGCCCTATTGGTTCAGGATGAGTCTACCAGGAACCAGCAAGAGGGTCAACAGAATGGAATTTCTGAGCCAGCTGCCAACAATGCTCTCCAGTATCAAGAGCAAAACACTCAGCAAGCTGGAACCACCCCTACGGGCTCAGGCTCCCTCAACCCATTTGGGTCCCTTTTGCTGTGGTTGCTAGGAGGCGGTGCTTCTGATGGCATAGTTTCTTTCTTCTCTATGTTCAGAGATGTCCGTGATCATGGTCAAGATTACACCGATCCACGTCGAAATGAAAATGATCAGGTGACATAGAATCATGAAGATGAAAGTGGACCAATGACAGAACTCTTGGTGGGTGCTTGGGCGGCAGTAGTCTATTGCTAATATGATATAATGCCAGCAGCTCCCTTCAAAAGGATAATGACGAATATTGGTGGCAGCATATACAGACTGGTGTCGCTGGAGATACCATGTTAGTATTATCTGTTTCTCTTTTTTAGTTAGTAGGTAAGGATGAAGGTTGTATCTATATTCATTATATATGTGCATTCCCCACCTTCTGAATGGGAGTGCCCATTCCAGTCCTGTACAGAAATGCCAACTCACAGCATATTAAATGTTGTGCAAATTCTTTTTGTACTCCCATGGGTAGGTGCTGGAGCCTGGAATATGCAGTGTTACTGCACCTGTTACTGAATTGGACAAATTAATGGTTTGGATCCATCGTTACATGTGATGTTCCAGTTTTGAGGTTAGTGCTTGCAGATTAGTTCCTTAAAATTATGTTTTTAAGGTGATCCTTGAAATTTTGAACACCGTTGTTGTTGTCCATTCACTGTATGCGGTCAGTTTGAACTTTGAAACTTATAATGATGTTATTATGGTGTCATTTTGCCGTCTAGTGCATCATGTTGTTGCTTTAGTCTGTGTCGTAGGCTAATATATACAAGGCTACCACTTCAGCCACTTCACTGAACATCGTCTCTTACATGAGACTATTATTCCCTCCGTTTCAAATTTTAAGTGGTTTTAGTTTTATCCTATATCAAATTTCTCTTTAACCAATTTTATAGACAAATATGTTAATATTTGCAAAGCCAAATAAATGAATTATCTATTTATATCTTAAGTTTGAAACTACTTAGATATGTATTTGATGTTGTTCCACTCCTAAAACTCAGGTCATAGTTAGACAATTTTGAGTTAGGACAGAATTAAAATGGCCTACAATTTATAAGGTAGTATTATATAAGGCTTGTAGTCACATTGAGACATAAGGATATTACTCCTGCTATTCATTCTGTTGTTCTCACCTCTGCTGGATGGGTGCTGCAACATCGTCGTTGCATATTCTGTTATCCAGCTTGGTGCTTGTAAGGCCTTGTTTAGTTGACGAATTTTTTTGGTAAATGGTACTGTAGTATTTTCGTTGTTATTTGGCAACTAGTGTCCCATCATAGTCTAATTAGGCTTAAAAGATTCGTCTCGTGAATTTCGTCTAAACTGTGTAATTAGTTTTATTTTTTATTTATATTTAATGTTTCATGCATGCGTCCAAATATTCGATGTGACGGAGAATCTTAAAAAATTTTGTAAAATTTTGGGAACTAAACAGGCACTAAATTTAGTTGCTTAAAATTCTGGACACCAATGTACATTCCTTGATTGCTCTCTTTGAAACTGGATGAGGTGCTATTTTGCTACCACAATGCATCAGGTGTGTGGTGTACTCCGTTCCAAATTAAGTCGTTCTGTTTTTTCAACGTAGCTTTTTATTACATACCTAGACATAAATGTATATTAGATACATAGCAAAAACTATCTAAAAAAACCAGAATGACTTATAATTTATTTACAATGTGGTAGTAATATTGTAGAGACATAGAAGTAAATGTGCTCCAATCGTTTGAAATTCTAAGTTGTTTTGGTTTTGTCACAAGTCAAATTTGTTTAATTTTGACCAAATATATAGAAAAATATATTAACACTTACAATATTAGAAAAAATGCAATCAAAATACTCCCTCCGTCTCAAAATAAATACACATTTTGCATTTTAAGGAGTCAACTGATCTTAAGTTTGACTAGATTTATAGGAAATAATATTAACATTTGTATCTCTAATTAGGTTTACTATAAAAATATATATCGTAATTAATCTAATGATGTCTATTATTATATATCGAAGTGCGAGATGTGCATTTATCTTAGGACAAAGGAAGTATATTTTAATGGTGTATCTAATAACTCTTGTTTGATGTTGTAGATGCTTGTGTATTCTGTTCTAAGCTTAGTTAAAGTTAGAGCAATTCTGACTTACCCGTTTAGCAGATTTATCGGCTTATCGGATCTAGTCTCTTTGTACGAGAACCTATATACCGGTTATAAAAGTTTGGAGTCCTATGTCTTGTTCATTTGGCTGATAAGCCATAACTGAAAGTACCGTTGGCTGATTTGTTATGAAAGAAAAATGTTGTTTGTTGGCTTAAAAAAATATGTCTTATAAGTCGAGCGAACAGGACGCTAGACTGCACGCGCCAACGCTCGATTACTTCCAGCCTGTTCGCTTGTTGGTTTCAGCCAGCCCAAACCAACCAGCCAACAGTGTTTTCCTCTCATAAAAAACCAGCACCAGCCAGCCTAAATCAGCACCAACCAGCGAACAGGCCATTCATCTGGTTAAAGTGATTGAGCCGAAATCTCTCGCTCGGCCTCGATGACCACCGTTCCCTCGTCTCAAAACTTTCAAAAAAAAAGTTCCATGAGCTTATTAATGGCATTTCGTACCGCATCCCCCTTTGACCACAGGTACGAACCTCACCGTCCCCGTTTCAAACAATTGCTACTTCGGGCGCCCACTCCGCAGAACCGAGGCCAACGGGGGAACAGAGACCCCCAAAACAAGATTCCCAAAAAAAAAAAGAGACCCCCAAAACAATTTCAAACCTCGCGACGGCCGCCGAGCCCATTTCAAACCCGGAAAACCCCCCAAGCAGCCATCGGTGGCCCCTTTCCCCTCCAGTCTCCACAGTCCAGAGGTACCTCCACTCCACAGCGCAGCCGCAGCAGCGGGCAAACCCAAGCACCCGCCCAATCCGATTCGGCTTCCGTCCCATCTCGCCCGCCCTCGCCTCCGCGGAGAGATCTGGCGGCGGCGATGCCACTGGGCGACGGCGCGGCGGGGGACTTCGCGCTGCCGGACGAGCTCCTGGCGGCGCTGCCGCGGGACCCCTACGAGCAGCTGGATCTGGCGCGCCGCATCACCGCGCTGGCGGTGGCGGGGCGGGTGTCCGGGTTGGAGCGGGAGGCGGGGCGCCTGCGGGCGGAGGCCGCGGCCAAGGACCGCGAGAACGCCGAGCTCCGGGACCGGGTGGCGCTGCTCGACACCGCGCTGCAGGAGACCAACGCCAGGCTCCGCGCCGCGCTCGAGGACAATGTGGGTCGTGGCGTGCCCGTAGCTGCTGGCCCGGCTCAATCTGTTCGCATTTGGCATCTGCGTCCGTTTGGGTTTCTGAACCTGGTGCTTGCAACGTTGTGGGTGCAGATTAAGCTCAGCAAGGAGCGGGACTCGCTGGCGCAGACGTCCAAGAAGCTGGCACGCGACCTGCAGAAGGTTCCCCCCGTCGGCCTATCCTTCTCCTTGTGCATACATATTTGTAGGTGTAGTGCTGTGTTACAGTTACTGTGTAGCTAGGATTAGAAATTCACATATATTAGGAAAGTTATTAACCAGGAGATTTGAACGGTTGAGTAAGGGGAACAATTGAACAATCTATTTGGACCATTTATTAGTACAGTACATTTTAAGATCACAATGAGTGAACTGGGTTGTCATTTCTTAGGCTGCAACTTCCACTGACATTGATGAGAACGATGGAATTATTCAAATGTTCAGTATCATCATAACTCATAAGTAAACAAATCCTAGCAAATCAAGGATGTTTTCATTGATCTGTAGCCACTGTAAATGGCAAGTAAAAAGTGGAAAACAACTGGGTTTATGCCATTGAAATCATTGAACCAATTCACACCCATCATCATTGGCTTATATGGGCCCCAACAATAAGACACATCATGGACACAATCTTTATTTACTGCATGTGTGCGCTGCTTCATGTTCCCAACGCAAGGTTTCTAAATATGAGTTTTCTTGCATAGCTGAAGCTGATTGAACTTTCCTTTTTTTCCCCCATGACTATATCTCCTTTCCTTGGATGTCATTTGTTTAATCTCTCTTTCCTTACATGAATGTGCATAAATATCTCTGATTAGATCATTCTCTTGATTAATTTCCTTATATAGCTGATGGACTTTAGCAGTGAATGAGCGCGCAATAAGAGTGAAACAAATCTAAGGGGTGAAACAAATTTTGCCTCTTTTTTTTTCTCTTCCCTATTTGAAGGACGAAAATGAACTTTTATTCTCATGCTCTCGGAGGTCGGAGCAAGCCAAATGGCATTTCAGATTATCAGCCACACTTGTCTATCTTTTCTTCCTTATTTCTTTGTGGAGCTCTGTGCAGCTTGGAGTTATCTTCTGTTGTTGGTCTTTGTTTTTTTTTTCACATTTGTATCTTGTAATAAAATTTATGTCAAGACCTTTGCCGTGCTTTAAAAAAAAAAAAACTCCACTATCTCTTTCCCTAACCATTTTATTTGACAACATACTTATATGTTTTCTCTATTCTCAGTTGGAGTCATTCAAGAGGCATCTGATGCAGTCATTGCGTGATGATAGTTCATCAGTATGTTCATCTTTTTTACCCAGTATATCACGCTATTTATGTGTGCTTGCTAATTTATTTACCCAGTTCATCAGTATGTTCATTTATTTTATGACTGTTCACCCCTAACTTTTTGCTGAATCCTTCTCAAGCAGCCACAGGAAACAGTTGACATTACAACGTGTGATCAGTCAGTACCATCAAAAGCATCGTCCAGTGGAGGTTAGATGTACATGAAAAATCTCTCATTTCTATTAATAACCACCAAAAGTATCCAACATTGATCCATAACTATTATTTTGTTTTGAATGCTGAAGATGGTGGATCTGTCAGCCACCCTACAACAAATATATTTAGTGAATCTTTGGATGCTGGAAGCACAAACCGAGATGGTATTGTTAGCTTATCATTTATTATTCATTTTGACACCCATCAGGGTGGCAACATAAGTTTCAACCATTTGCACTGTTGAAAATCTATTAGGTACCGCAACAAGGCCTCCGATCCAAAAATATGCCCTCCCATCGCACATCACTCCTCGCCTTACCCCAGAGGCCACTCCTAAAATAATGTCCACTTCTGCTTCTCCGAGGCGAATGTCTACCGCAGCAACACCGAAGTTGATGTCTGGTGCTACCTCACCAACAAAATCTCGAATTGAAGCTCACATGTCAATGACACCATGGTATCCATCAAGCAAGCAATCCTCGGCAGCTAACTCACCTCCACGAGGGCGTTCAAACCCAGGTTTGTAAAGACATGTTGTCATTTGAAACTACAATACAATGTTTACATGGATAGAATAAATATAGCTGATGCTGGGGTTTTCAGGTCGGACTCCTCGTATTGATGGAAAGGAATTTTTTCGTCAAGCCAGGTCTGTTGATATCTTGACCTCTTTTCTGAACCATTGATGAATGAGATGGATGATATCATAATCAACAAAACTTCATTACAATTTATAGGAGTCGTCTATCCTACGAACAATTTGGAGCATTCTTAGCCAACATCAAAGAGCTCAATGCCCATAAGCAGTCACGTGAGGTTGGTCATTTCGGTCCATCTGCTAATTTTTTAATTGAATACCTGTCTGAGTCATTACACAACCACATGACTGTTCATGTTTACATTTTAAACCAGGAAACTCTCAAGAAAGCTGAAGAGATATTTGGTCCAGACAGCAAAGATCTTTATCTATCTTTCCAAGGCTTGCTAAATCGTAGCATGCCATAGGCTTCATGTGTGTCTCTTTGTAAGTTCCGCTATCCAATGCCAGAGTTCCCCTGCGCATGATTTAGTTACCGCAAAGCTAATAAGATACACAATTTGTTGTTTTGTTTGCAGATAGCGAAGTTGCTGCATTAGCAACCTATTGCCATCTAGTTGTGGGTCCAGTTGCCAAGTTTTGGCCCCATAGGTGGAAGTTTGGAACGATCGGACCTCTCCCAACAACCGAGCATGCAAACTAGTGTTGCTTCTGTAAGTGGTGCACTGCCTAAATTAGAATGCAGTCTGTCATGGTGCCCCATCCTTGTAAAACCGTCAAACAGACAAACTTGAGAGTAAAATTTCATTCATCCCCAACTGGGACAAACCAGTAGCTGCATCTTATTCTGGAACCTGAAGTCAAATTTTTTCGTTCTGCTCTGGTTGTACTGAGGTTTTTCTCTGAAATTAATTTCGCAGCTGAACAAAAGCTGGCACATAATTCCGAAAACACTGGCATGGAAGAGTAAACACTTGGACAAACATAGTTAAAAGTTATCTGCATTTTCACAGCAGAGTTCACCTGTTTAATGAACCAGGCAGGTGCTACGAGCAAGAGAAAGGTTCTTGCAATGCATAGCATGATGCACACCAATATCTGTAACAATGTTCCACCTTCTCATGGAAGGACAGCCAAAAAAACAAGCCCTGGACATACTGCTAAAGGTATATAGGAGAAGGCCTCTACGTACGCTCACCTTCCTCCTAGTGTCACGCTGTTACAGCGCGCGCACACAATATACCTGATGATATTATATATATATACCAACTACCATACCACCATCTGTGACTCAAAAACAGCACCTGATCGATCACACGACTAAATCAGCTAAAACAACCTAGATTGAGTGCTTGGCCTGACCCAGAAGAGAAGCACCTGATGGATACGGTTAGCAGCCTCCATCCTGATCCTAGCTAGCTAGTAGGACCAGAAGTGGGCGTCGTCCATGCTGGGCTGGTCCACGACCATGTCCAGCAGCTCCGGCGTGGCCTTGCAGTGCGCCTCGGGCTCTGCCGTCTTGGGCGAGGACATGGACGACGGAGAGCCGGTGTAGCTGCTGCCCCCGCCGGTCCTCGCGGCCTTGAGCCGGTGCAGGATGTAGTCGTTGCTCATCTTGAGCCTGACCATCTCGGCCTGTGCCAGCGCCAGCTGCGCCTGGAGCGCCTCCACCTGCTGCTGCAGCGACGAGATGGCACCCACGCAGCCGTACACGGGGTCCCTGACGCGCGCGTTGGCCTCGTACACCAGGCTGCTCACCGCGTCCCCTCGGTGCTGCACCGGGATCTCCTGCACTTGCCACCAGAGAGCACGAGTAATTGAGTATATATGCAACGACAGTGCATGTTCACTCATGGACATGGATCGTTTGCACTCCAAGAAGATACGTACACATGACAAGATACGTAGAAATGTAAAGTAGAACGAGACACATTTTACAGACATGACAAAGAAACACTGATTGAGTGCCTAGCTAGGAAACTGCTAGTGCTATCAGATTAGGACCAATGCAACCAGACAGTAATAATAGATGATAATATAGCTGGTTATTGGAGTTCTTGTTCCAAGAAAAGAAAAGATGACAGAAAAGATCGACAACATGTCTGCGTGTTTGGTGCAGCCGAAAGCTTCTTTTTCGGACACCATGTGCAATCCATGCCTGAAGATGGCGACGGCCGTAGGTAGACACACCGGAGGCAGTACTACACTGCTGCCGACGGCTGGCTCGACACATGGGGGAGAAGATCTTTGGTGAATTCGAAGATACGGTCAAGAGCACGTGGGGGCAAGTCCCTGTCGATTCTAATAAATTTGTACCAAATTATTACAACCTCCTTTACGAAAAAAATGCAACTATGATTGCGTGTCACAAAAGGTGGTTCACGTTTAACTAAGATTTTAGTGAATAATATTCACGTCTTTCAAATAATTTATTATAAAAATATATTTTGTAATTAATCTAATATAATTAATCTAATGATATTTATTTGGTATCATTGACCAGGATACTTTGACACTGTGCTAGGACGGATTTTTGGGGACGGAGTGAGGGCGCGTTTAGATAAAAAAATTTAGGTTTTGGCTACTATAGCACTTTCGTTTGTATTTAGCAATTAGGGGCTGTTTGGATATTATCCTGGACACAAACTGCCTGGTCTGGATGCTTCCTGGATGCTGCCTGTACCGCGTTTGCTTGCAGTCCTGTATCCTTGCCTGGTCCAGGCATTCCAGGCACACAAAAACGATCGCCTGGCCACAGGCAACGTTGCCTGCTTAGATTCCTTCACAGTTAACTTAGATCAAATTGCCAGGCAGATATTTCAAACCAAACAAACGTATCTATGATATAGCCTGAGCAGGCAAACCATGATGACTCAACAGGCAACATCCAGGCAGTCATTTTTCTCAGGCAACAGCTCCAGGGTTCCATCCAAACTAGCCCTTAGTGTCTAATTATGGACTAATTAGGTTCGAAAGTTTCGTCTCGCGATTTTTCACCCTAACTGTGCAATTAGTTTTTTTTCGTCTACATTTAATACTCCATGCATGTGCCACAAAATTCGATATGACGGTTGATCTGCAAGAAATTTTCTGGGAACTAAACAGTTCCTGAGTAGTAGATATGTATGGAGGCCCTGGGGCCTGCCTGGGCACATGCAGATGAAAACGTAGCAAATCTGATTGGTTGACCGGGCGTGGGCGATCTTTTTCATTTGGTTTGGTTTGTTTTGTTGCTGCACTGCCCCTGCTCATGATTGGGTTGGATCGGGTGGCTGCCTGATGGCACCCCTGCGTGCAGTGAAAAGGAGACACTGTTTGCCCGTGCCTTGTCGAGTGCATGATTACCAAGAACCGGATTAGAATCCTGATACAGTAACTCAGGAGCCGGATCATCAGTAAACTCTTGCTATAACATGGTTGTGTATGTGCCCAAGAAAGAACTGTTAAGCTCTAGGGAACTGATCGACTGTTGAGGCATGCAGTGCACAGCAGAAGCTCAGTCAGGAGCAACAAATAAAGATGGAGGAAAGTGGATCAAGCTTCGGGATCAAGACTCCCGGTGTATGTAGGGCTGTAGGCACGGTAACACAATGAAGGCAGCTAAAGCAGAATGATCCCTAAAAGTGTGGCCAGTAGGGCCTTGTTTAGATGCCTCCCAAATTTCAAGTTTTTTCACTCTCTCTCCATCACATCAATTTTTAGCCGCTTGCATGGAGTATTAAATGTAGGTAAAAAAATAACTAATTACACAGTTTAGTTGGAAATCACGAGATGAATCTTTTGAGCCTAGTTGGTCCACGATTGGACAATATTTGTCAAATAAGACGAAAGTGGTACTATTCATCGGGTTGAAATTTTTTCGCAATCTAAACGAGGCCTAGGTAGGATCGGAGAACACTTTGTTAATAAGATATGTGTGTAAAGCTTGCTACTTTTGGCAAAGCAGTATACCTGAGACACAGACAGACAGTCTTTGAGTCTGACTGTCATCACACAAGTAACGCTCGCTCCAACTATCCGCCTCTACAGTACACATCTATACACACATTGGAGAGGAAAAAAAATCTAGTCTAGACAATGGAAGCAAATAAAACCATATATATATATATATATATATATATATATATATATATATATATATATATATATATATATATATATATATATATATATATATATATATATATATATATATATATATATATATAAATATAACTGAAGAATCAGCAAAAGGAGAAGTAACTGTGCAGTGCAGGCATATGTAAGGTGAGGTGAGGTGATCTGGCGCTGCTGGCGATCTCGATCTTCTAGAAGCAAACGAAGGCTAAGAGGGACAAATAGAACCTCAGCAGATCATTATCTAAAAAAGAACCTCAGCAGATGGGGACATGGAAACCTGTTCACTGAAGCAACCAGCAACATCTTCAGTGCAGAGACGATTATATATTTACTCTATATCAGAGCGGCAAGCATAGTGTGCTGCTGCGTGCATCGCTACATGCTAGTGAGTTTCACGGCAACGCAACTAGGCAATGGTGTAGCTCGACGAGAGGGGCAAAGAAAAAGCCCCGTGGGGGAAAAAAACTACTGAGCATCGCCAGCGCGGGAGCAGAGCAACCGAAGACGAGGAGCAGAGCGAGCGGCGGTTGCGCATGGTGCTGTGCTGTACCTGGAGCAGCTTGCTGACATTGCTGGCCCCGAAGACCTTGTGCACGTTGGCGAACTTGTGTGGCTCCCCGGGCGGGAAGTAGGGCGCGAAGACGCAGCCGGCCGCGCACCGGCGCCGCAGCAGCTTGCACGCCGCGCACGGCGCCGCGGAGGCCGCTCCGCCACCGCCCGCCTTCCCTCCTCCGGCCCCGGCTCCGGGCACCGCCATCACCACCACCGCGTCCCTCATCGGCGTGGCGATCGACAGACCGGCGAGTGGGAGTGGGGAACTGGAGAGCCGAGACGCGACTGGTGGAGTATATGGCTGTTGCCAAATTGGGCGGCTGGGCCTTGGGCTACGGGACGTGGGTGGTAGGCACAGGGACGGCGGGCGGACGGGGCAGGTTGCCTGGGCTCTCGGCGTCTACTACGAGTATTGGAATTGGGAGCCCTTTTTAGTGGAGGCAGGATGCAGGAGGCGGGAGGCAAGGCACTGGGCAGAGATAAAAGCTGGAAAAGCAGAGCAGACTGCTCTGTTCAGGAGAGACCGAGAGACTGCTGAGAGATGTTGGAATGGATGGACAAAGGAAAAGGCAGAGAGAGAGGACAGTGGGCAGTTGAGCCGTCTGGGGGGGGAGTGTGCCTGTGAAGGGGAAGGACAGTCGGCAGTGGAAGGGCGGGCAGGCAGACAGACAGAGATCGTGCAGCACGTAGCATCATGCGTGCCCCCTCTCCTCTGGGCCTCTTCCTTTGATGATTATCCACCCGCATTTGCATGCATCGGTATCGACTATCGATCGATTTCCTTCGTCCCGCTGCC